TTCAAATCCAATTATGGAGGCAGAATACTAAAGTTTTACTTTTGAGTTTGTGAAAATTACTATCGACATCGTGTGACCATTCAAATGTAGGCCCATCAGTAGCACTTTCACATGGTACTAACTATTTAGACTGCAGTTATGAAAACCAATGGTGTTGCACGACCACTCGGAAAAGGAATCCTCCTCAGCGGTACTTAAATGGTACTACTATCTATTCAGTATTGGGACGTAGTTCTAATTTTGGAGTTTGTGGAGAGTATCAATTAAATTCTTCCAGGCTGCCATTCAAATGAAACGTCTTCAGCTGTATTTTCATATCATATGGGTAGTATTTGCCTTTTTTATTTAGCATTTTACGATAAAATGATTTTCCTCGAATTTTGTATTGTTCTTCTCTTAGAAGTAAAAGGGTTAATGCCAAATTTCAGAACAAAACGTAAAAGAGAGAAAAATAACTGATTTTTGAGAAAAGAAAAGAGTCGACGGAGCACGCGTTTATGAAGAGTGGCTCAATAGCAGAAACACGTCGAATAGTTCTTTTGTCACATTTTTGAAAACAACCAGCTTTATTAGACAACAGAAAAATAGCACTTTCAAATGACAAGTAAACTGTGATAGGAGTTAAATGCCAGAATGAGATATTAAAGGTAATACCCAATCAGATTTGTGGTGTTCCATAAAGTTCAATTAATAACCAGTAGGTTTATCTATTTTGAGTCTTTGTCTAAAACCTTTCTGGCGTTACTTAAGTAAGGAAAATAGAGTCGTTTTGAGAAACTTCAACCTCTGCAAAGGAATATTCCGTATGGAATATGCCAGGCAAGACTTCCTAGAGTCTACGGGCAAAAAATAAATGAAGAAGGTTAAAAAAGAATCGCTGCAAAATCTACTACTTCACTAGGAGTGATGCATGTCCCTAGTTTACTTCACTAAGCAGTTTTAATGTCTTCAAACTGTGCGGATGCACTTTTCAAAAGATCATTATTTCACAGAGAGTAGAAACTGGTAGTAAATCGAAGCTTTAACACACTGGTTGAACACCCTTCAATAAATAGAAACTGTCCACCTTACTAGGACAACATATATTACAAGAGTTTACAGAGGAGATATGATACATCTTTCACGGATGATGGATATTCTTTTTTGGTTTGGTCATAGGTTTCCCTTAGCTCAGAATGTATGTCTCTCCGGAAACGTCTATTTCAGCCTCCTTACTACGGGAAGTGTTTTCTTAAAAAGTTACCTTGGTAGTGTCAATCGTAAAATTTAGCCATTTTCCTCCGTCAAGGCAGAGAGTTGCCAAATTTTCCCATTTACACTGCCAAAGAAAACTTGTCAATTCTTTACAATATAAGTTGTCCTCCAAGAAATGCTTAGCGTTGTATGATGCCAAGCGTACCTACGCTTCATGTCCCAAGTTTTATTCCAAGTAAATGATTAACTTGCAAGTGGCGAACAAAAAAGAAGACGAACTAAGCGCAGCGCACTTGAAATAGGGCGTTAATTCCGGAGAATTTCAAGAGTTTGTTAGGCAGGTTGGAAAACGACGGAAAGCAGGAGCTCGCTGAAAAGTTTTTGCTTGCGTAGACCCACCTTTAAACCAGGCTTGCGCAATGTCACAATTCTAATGAGCAACACAGAAAAGGTACTCAGGAGATATGTTTTTGACATTTACACTGTCAAACTTAAAAATATAGATTCTTCCATTCAAAACGTCATGCTAACTAAAGGTAGAGCTTATTCACGTAAAAAGACTTCTTGAAAAGTCTTTAGGTAAGTCTATCTAAACTAATAGGAATCAAACATACAACAGTGACACTTCATGGAGTTAACATTTACAATAAGCAAGAATAGACGAAAGATATCAGACTGCTTTTTCAAACCTTACAACAGAATTATTTAAGTGAAGATTACAAGTGTCACAAATAGATTCGCGTTCTTTTTTCACCTGTATCTTCCCTTTAGCCTAAAGGTCACAGAAACATGGAAATAAAAGAATATAAAATTGTTTTCACAATGAGCCATTGGTGTCCGCTGGCAAGTTTGAGTTAACGCTTTCAATGCGTTTAGTTTTGTTCATAGTAGCACATTTAAAGCAGGTATTTATCGACACTTAAGACAAGCATCAGCACGCACCATAACAAACAGAAAACAAAAGAGTCAAACAAGCTAAGAAGAATAAGTAATTAGACTATTCAACTAGTGATAATTAAGTATTTCTGATCCTTTCGCAACTTACTTGCGCTAACAACGCAGAAACTTCGAGATAAGACAACATAAAGTCCATGATTCTTCTTGGCACGTGACGATTACCGAAACGATCCCGCTGAGTAAATGGCATTTTCGACAATAGATCTTTGTTTATGGATTTCAAAATAACTCATTCTTAGCTGATCCAGAAACACTAAACGATCAACCAAAAAACAAAGAATAAACGTGGTTTTTCCGAAACTTTGTTATAAGAACGTAGCAGTAAATGCCAAAAAAATTACGTTGTTCCAAGAATAAAGAAGAGTGCTTGAAAAAGTACATGTATGACAAATAGGTAAATCGGTATTATTGGGAACAGGAGATAAAGAGACTAAGAAATAACTTTCGACAACTGACACAGAATTTAATGCGGACAACAGTAGAATACCGTTCTCAAGAAGGAATATAAGGTCGATCATCTGCGAAATTTTAGACAAATGGCCCATAAAACAACAAATTAAAAGTCTATTGGGGCATGGAAATCACATTCCAAGTTTCACCACAAAACCCTGCAAAAAAAAAAAAAAAGAAAAAAAAAGAAAGAGAGAACCAGTTCTTTCCTCTCAGGGCTTCCAACCCTTTGAGGATTGCAGACAATTTATGTCTATTTTTAATCGTCTGTAGTCTTCACAAATCATCTGCATGACAATAATTTATACATAAAGAGTTGACCTTCGTTTAATTTCTTCATTAGAACGCCCACGAAACAATTAGTTCCTCTTCAGTGAAAGTCATATCTTTACAATGCCGAGGTGCAATATCATGATTGAGAGGAAGATATGGAATTCTAGTAGTGATTTCAAAAGTTGCCGCGAGCTACTGGAGCATGCTATGCATCGTGTCTACCAAATGGTCCATTGTGCGAAGGAATATCAGACCCTTAAAAGACAGCCCCTAAAGGTTTATTATAGTTAACGAGTTTGCGGCAAAGCCGCTTAATCCAAGTGGAGATTTACACATCACAGTTGTTGTAATTCAACAACAGAACTTCAACGTCCTCGTATGCAAAACCCAAACTTGTCAGATTGATGGTGATTGAACATCGGCAGGAGGTACTCAAGAAGGAGGCTGGCTCTCGAGTCGAGATGTTTGTCATAAACAATTGGCTGATACCACTTTTATTGAGTGGAAACTAATTGCACTACACGGCAAAGTATCTGCTAAAAATATGGCAGTGTAAGTTTCTGTTTAACACAAACGTAGTTGTCACTATCATTGTTGTTTCTACTCCTTATTGTAGAGCTATACACTGAACCTTTTGTATCGCCACCTTTGAGCCCGCCTTCGAATTTTGAAGTGATTCTACAGACCTTTATAAGTGTGACTAAAACTACAAACAAAGCGCACCGACGAAAGCGTTTTTTAATTAGTTTGCCTTTTATAAAATTGCTTATTAATGAATCACTTTACAAACAGAGACACCGGGCGTTCTCAAGAGGCCCGCTGGGCACTAATTGGTATGTAATTTGGCGAGATAAGTAGTGTTTTCATATTCATTTGCTGAGTAAACACAAGATACGTTCTTCTCAAGTGCGCAAAAATGTTTGCCAACCGTTCGGATTTTCGTCTCGATTCGAACAAAAAACAAACTTGACAAAGTAGAAGGTGGCCGGGAAGAAAAATGTAAACACGTTAATCCGAATGTCCGAAACTCAGAAAAGATGTTAATTTTTTATTACCGAGATAGAAACTTGCCACGAGCGATTTCCAGCTGACCGAAATGTAAATAAGAACTAGTCTGTAAACTGATTAAGGCTGTTTCTCCAATTATAAGCGCATAAAAGCGTTGATTCCATCGCTGCCATTAGTTCTTACACAATTTTGTGCAAATTTGTACGCTTGAAATAATAGCCATACAACATATACTATCCAATTTTATCGTGAATATGAATTTCTTCTAGATTTGAGGTTCAGTTTAAGAGGCTATAGGTCGCAAATGTTTGCATAAAAAATATGAGGTAAAGTGAAAGCTAGAACACGCAGTCGTAAAAGTGCAGTTAATTTAGCTAATATAAGTAAAATACAATCAGAAAAGAAGCCAGCGAAAGAAACTGAGAGAGCCTTAGAGGCTGTGGTAACAGAAAACCCAAAATGTAAAACAGATCTAGGAAAAGGGTTATTGTCCTCAATCCAAGAGGATTAGGGTAGAGATTATACTTCTCTAGATATCAATTGCCAAGTGCCGAAATACAATGGAGTAAAAAGCGTTTGTAAGGCGCAGAAACATCTTTCGTTAAAGAAGAATCACAGCTATATGCATGTCACTTAAACTACATCATCTCCACTACGATAAGACCATTAAACTCGAATAAATGTTAAACATAAGTAAAGGAAATACGCTGTACCTTTTGCAAAAACTTCCTCAAGAAGTGAGAAAACACAGTATACAAAGCGAAGGTGCTCACAGCACAGGCAAACTGGGTGTGCAGTCAGACTACCGGCAACCTTGAGTGAATTTTAAGCCCATTAGATACACAAAATTCAAAACATACACGGGCCAGATGCGAGAGGGGATGATAGTTTTAGCTGCCGTTTGTTAAGCCGCTTTGGTCAGAAACAAATAATAAAAATCTGGTTTTCTTATCGCCAAACGGCGTCGCAGCCTCACATCGTATTTCGTAATTTGGACCATATGGGCGAAAGCTGTTTAGGTATGTTCATCTATACCAAGACAAGTTGCTTCACGATAATTAAAAAGTTGTTACTACTTGTTCGCAGTTGGCAAATTAATAAAAAGACACGCGTACATGGAACAAAGCGAGTAGGCATCGGAACACAGTTTTTAAGTTAACATATTCTATTGCTCATTGTCCTTATTTACACAGACCGTGATAGCTCTTAAGATAAAAAAAATAATTTTAACTTGAAGCAGTAACACCTAGTGATACTCGTGAATAACACTGGTGGCTTGGATAAATAAAAATCACTAAGTTTTGAAGTGTTGCAACAAAGTCGAGCAAAATATGGCCACCAGTGTCTTGAAGACACAGGCATAAGTAGGGTGGCAAAACCTAACGTCAGTGCAGACGCAAAAAAGGAAAAAAACATCATTACAGCCCTGCCAGCAGAAAAATAAAGAAGCCCGTTTGTGTTCTTTTCACGAGTTTTAGCGGGTACAAGAATTTGACAACCAGTTGTTCTATAAGAGAAATACCGAGATAATTTATATTCTTGCTTCCTCTGGCAAACTGCACAAAGTGAATGGTGATTAAGCGAATTCTAATCACCACTTATTATAATAAATACTACTAGCATTGTTTTTGTGACAAAGGAAGGAGCTGCAGTAGAAAGCCATATCTGTGGCTCACATAAATTCTCATGAAACTGTTTCAGAGAAATGTGCTTGACATCTTTATAATTGATCAGCACACAACTAAAATCAGTTGAATTCATTCAGGTACAAATGTTTTTTCAATATGTATTCAAACAAGGCTCAGTACCCTCTTAGTAATTTATCTCCACCCCCGACAATAATGTGACGAAAATTAACAAATTTAAGAATTTTCTTTAGAAAAAAATCCAATAAAGGATCACTCTCGCTATTTTAACATCCATTCCGTTCAAACTCTTAGTCGCCTTTTTATATTTCACCAATGTTACTGAAATTGAAAATGTAGCACTTATGATAAAGTGCATGGTTTTATCAAATGGTGAGTGGTTAATTGTCATTAACTTGTTCTGCTGGTAGCGGACTGAGCTAATGGTACATGAAATTATGAAAAACTTGATGGGCGACATAAGGACTCCTTTGAGAATAGCTCATGGCTTGACCATAAGGTGAAGTAGGTAAGTTATAAGGCTGGAAAGCCAAGTGTGGTCCATAAGGCGACGGTTCACAACATACAGAGCCGGATCCGCTAAGGCTCGAAGGAAATCTTTGTGGCATATATGGCTTGCTGGCCAGTTTTAGTTTTTCTAGCTCGGCTTCATGAAGTCTTTTTGCTTTTGCTCGACGATTCTGAAACCAGATTTTTACTTGCGTTTCCGTCAAGCTCAGTGAGGCCGAGAACTCCGCTCTTTCAGCTATTGAAAGATACTGCTTTTGTCGAAACTTCCTTTCCAAAGCAAGTAGCTGCGAAGTTGTAAACGGTGTTCTTGGTTTTCGATTCGTCTTGTGTTTCCGGAGTTGGCATTTTGTAGGGCTCAGTCGGGGACGAATGCCTGTGAAGGAAAAGGGATGTGGCTAAGAAAATGTTGAGCACGTAGCATAAGTAAATTCTGCTCAATATTACACTGGCCATTTCAAGGCCACCAATAAAGCTGATTTGCCTTTACTGACGTTACACAACAATTACACCAATTTGACAGTTGTAAACATTAGCACGCAACACGATGTTGAAAACCATAAACGTTTATACAACTATTCATAACTTACGAGGTGGAGGGTCATATCTTGTAGAATGCATCCACGGAAAGTCATCTGTCCACTCTAGTCGTTCATTTGTATCTTTGCTTTCTTTGACAAGTTTTAAGGATGGCTCAGTAATCTTCGCAGCTTCTCCTCCCCTAAATTCTTGTTTATCCAACAGTCTTTCAACAGAAAAGTTAATCGGTAACCCTGGTGCGCGTGCTGAATTTGCCTGGCTGTCGCCATTTTGGTCTGATTTTGATATAAGCGATTCCACGCTGAAAGATATACCCCGAGCAGTCGCACGTCTGTTTTGCTCCATTGATTGGGATAGCTCTTTGAGAATGAGCAAAGGATGTGTTAGTTGGGCTGAGTAAAGCGCATGTAGGCAACCGAGGAAAGCTAGGAATGTCTACTTGCTCTAGAGTCCTAAGCTTTAGTTCCAAATTAAAGAGAACCCGCTGTGAACAGCCATTTCACCCGTTTGACGTCCGCGTATATTGGACCCTGCCTAATAGGGCATAAGATAATTGTGTCATTATCAGGCAAATTTGTTGTTGATAAATGACAGCCAACCACAAGGCGCGCACGGTGTCATCTTAAAAAGATTTGATAACTGCTAAATTGTTCCCATTGGCTCGCATTAAAACCAATTTACGGCTTGGTAGTTCTATTGTTTTCGTCGGCGTGGTGGCTACGACAATTTTACAAACATGTTAGAATTGCCTTAGAGCCATTTACAAAATAATTTCGCTTGACGTGCCCACACTGTCGGTTTGAAGTTTTTATCCAAAAGTACCGCCTTTTTTACCTTGCAACCAAAACCACTTGTCTGATAATTGGGATTAATATGCAAGGTACTTAAATAAAAGTAATGGCTGGTTACGAGATGAAAATCGTCTCGCATCTGGTGACGAAAGTCACGAATAGGAGTGTTGTGGCGATTTCAAATTGCCTCAAGGGCCCCATCCTCCGTTTTCTTTCCCACACATCATGTTTGCTGTCACAGATCAGCAGTATCGCGAATCACATCGCGAGGGTTTTTGTTTGCGAAAACTCTTAGCTCTAAAGAGACAAGCATTTTTCATTGTTTGTTTTAATCCATAAAACAAATAAAAGACGTCAGCGGGGGGCTTTCGACCGATAGTATCAGATCTTAAAGGAAAACAAAATTTTATGGAAATCAATTAGAGCTTTTTCAAATACAAATTACTACGTGTCGCTATTATCAGGTTGTTCGGGAAGTAATTTCCATCTGTGTATGTAACCGGTAATTGAGAGGTAATTGAAGCAACCGATGTGCCTTCAAAGATAATGATATGGTAATGAGGCTTCTGGCAAGCCATACGTGCAATTTTCTGGGACAAAGAATAAACTTTCAATGGCAAAAGAAGTTTTCTTAGTACGACGACAAGATTGAATCAATTATGACACCTTTGACAATCTTCTAAACACTGCCGAGGAGGGGCCATATTGATTTTAGTGATAAGACAAGAGCTTTGTTTGGATAATTTCCTTCCTACATGCCCGAGAGCTTGGGATGTTTATTCCCGGCCTCTGCTCACTGTTTGGCTAGGATGATGATTGCCTGATTTCCCAAATGCGGAGATAGGAAGTTTGTGATTACTTCGCCACACGCAGTGTACCAAGGCATCAAGAAGGAAGAAAAGCCTCTGCATTCTTTGTGCTAATGTCTCGATTGATAAACTTTAATTGTAACCATACTTCTTTAGTCTAAGAGATTACTAATTTGAATAACTTCGGATATCTATGATGTTCTGGTGAAATAGATATTAATCGCCATTGGGATGTAATTAGCGAGAGACGCCAGTAGTCTGAAGACCTAATAAATAACAGCCCTAAGACTTAATTATACTTGACAAAAAAGGATAATTTTGGAGCGTTTTGGCTTAGCCCCTAACAGACCATACTATAAATACAGTTATGTTGAAATTACCTTTTTTCCCTGGTGTAAGTGTTTGTTTGTATTGTAAGCCTTTTTTCGGAAGACAATCTTAAACTAGACACAAATTACTCAACAGAACTTTGTTCGCTGGTGAATTCCATTTCGACGGTGACAGGTTGTGCGATAAGCAAATTTGAAAAGCATGGCTTTATCTTTTTAAAACTGTTCAAGTTGAAGTTATCTTTGTGAAGCGCCATCTTTTCTGATACCCTGATTAAGTTTCTCTGGAGCAAAACTCTAGTGCGATAAGTGACTGATTCCTTTTATCGCGGAACATCCATTTATGACACGGACGCCACATCTGTTGTCTATTTCTTGAGCTACACTTGCTTTCAAGTATAATAGCCTAACACCACGACTCTCCCTTTTTGGCATTGCGTAAAAGAAAACACAGCAGCGATCACATCCACAGACGTTTACTTTCAAAGACTTTTTGTAAATATATATAAAAAATTCCTATTATGTAGCTACCTCAAAGGTGACGCGATCGCTATCAGATAAGCAAATTTTAAAAGTTTTGAATCTTCTGAATGCCGGTAAGAAATAAAGAGGCTTACTCGAAGCTTCTTGGCACATTCATCTCACACGTTTGAGGAGCTACAAATAATCAGGAATTCCAAAATCAGGCGAAGCATAAAAAAATCCAAGCTCGAAAAATGACGAAGCATAATCGAATGCTACTCGCAATATTTCGAATCATTTTCATACGAAACATACATGCAACTCTTTTAACCAAAAAAGGTAACTGTCATTCATATATTAATAAAGGGCCCATAAAAGTGTATCAGTCCAGAAGGCAACTTGTTATGCTTTTATAGCAGAGCACGTTTAAGCTAACGCTTGTTAAGGAAAACTGAACAAGAAAAATCGTCAGTAGATAAATGAGCAGAAAATAACAGAAATGCTAAGGAAATATCGTTTTAACCGCCTTACATTTTTTGACCCCACAATAACATCTGCATGGAGAGAGATATATATTGAGTACTGCCTCGTAATTTTCTAACACCTTTTCTTCCTTACGAAAGCTGGGATGCATCGCCGTGTCATGTTATATAAGGACACTTAGTAAATAAATAGTAGAATATCCAATAAATATCATGCAAATAAGTAACAAACAGCCTGAAGACAACTAAAAAGCTTATCCAGTGAGTAAAACTGCTGTAGTAATGAAGTCAACGCAATATTTGTTTCCTTGCAAGACAAGACTTCTCTTCAGTTAAGCATCACTAAGTTATTCAAGGCTAATTTGACAATCCGAATGTTATGTGTAAAGTTAGAAGCACTTTTACTCGAAAGGACAGCTTTTTCTCGAAAGTAGTCCTTGGAATTCTCGTCCAGCATTCATTCGACATTCCTCCTCAGGTGAAAAAAGTGATTTTAAGCATTGCTATCAGCATTAATGACATACGTATTTAACATTAAGACACAGCACATTAGTGTTGAAGGTGACTTTGTATTAATACTAATAATGAAAATTGTTCCTTTTCTTTTTCGATTTTAATTTAAAGGTAGATACCTGCCCGATGGCTACGATGAACTCGAGGCCGATCAGGCATTTACTGACTCTGCAATGTTAACAAATTAATCGAAAAATACAGAATGTATACTTAGAAAATTTTATTTAAAACATAATTTAAGGTGCAGGGAAGCTATGCAATGAACGGGAAATGATGATGATACAAATGAATGGAAACAAAAGCTTTTGTCTCATAACAAAAATGAAACAGTGTCTTTGACGGTCACGAACTAAGTTGGCCAATTGGAGTTAATTATTCGATACTAAAAAGTTACGTTTGAACGAACATTGCTGTAAGAAATGACCAACTTCTAATTCATGACATTCTTCAAAAAACATAATAGCACGATTCAGAGTATCTTAGGAGTAGTGAGAAACGTCACAAATTTACAGGCGAATAAAGAGATGATTAACATTTTGAACAGCATTAACCTTGGCGAAACAGTGTTTGGTATTTTCTAAGATAATACGATTAGTCAATTCACAAACACAGGCAGAAAAAAACTTTTAAGCGAATTAAGATTGATAACATAAACTCCATATTTCTTAATCCGCTCATTATCCTCATTATGACAAGCATCAATAATGATTAACCAAATTGCGTTTAAACATTTCGTAAAGATGGAGAGAGCTGATAACTGCTAATCACTAATTTAGGAGTCCAAGTTTCACTGCTGATAGTGAACATAACTTCACGAATGAAACATGAAATTCTACAAGGGATGAAATTCTCGGTTCCCAAGCACAATAATTTATAAAATACAAAATTCCGAAAATGAAAAATTGTACGACCTAATTTAACACAGGTTGTGCAACTCAGAAAATACTGAATTAAATCGAAGGTTCCCTTGTAAAAACAAAATGCATCAAAGATGAGCTATAGGAAATCAATAAAATTAGTGCTTAATTAATATCCTGTTCACGCCAACACTTATTCATAGTTGAACGTTGTTTAGTTTAATTACTATTTAGGAACTACCTATCTTGAACTGTGTTTTTAACATGCCATCGATTCGAATTGCCTAAAAATGGTAAATGTAGTCAGTAAAGCAGCTTTTAACATAATTGTCTGAATTATTACTAAAATACACCCCGATCATGCTAACGGATAAATATGTTCCAATGTTTAGTTTAACGACCTTTTTAACCTGTACGTTGAACCTTTAATAATGGACATCATCTGGGCTACCGCGAATAGTAATTGAATGGTAATAGTCCCCTCTAGTAAAGATCTCATTGAAGATATAACGAACGTTAAAATATTTTTCTTCACCTAATTGTCAACTAAACGACATTTTAACATGTTTAGACGATGGTGTAGACGGAGTGCTATTTAAGAAAGTACAAAACAATTAAATTTATGGAGCGACGATATTTTAAACTTGAATGTTAAAATGCAGTTTTACATCAGATACTCACACATAATATTATTTTTTATTCTAATTAAACCATTATTAGATTTGTGAAAACAGATGTGTCCTCGCCTGATTAGATAGTTTCACGACAGCCGGTTGAATAACTGGAAAATTAAAATTGAGCGAAAATCTTTCGGAAGGGATAAATTGTGTCCCTCAAGTCAAGAAGAAGGGAAACATTTCTGATTAACAGCTTCCGAAAGCCCTTTTATGAGGGGTTGGAAGTATTATTTAGAAGGAAAATGCGGTTTCTGTTCTTTTGTCAGAAAACAATGTGGTCAACTTAATTTTGCCTAAGAAGCTAACTGATTGAAAACCTTTACTAACAATCCCAGTTCATCAATGCTAAGGCCTTCCCATGCGACCTCAAATCTTACCACGCCATATGTTGTGACATACCGTCTTTTATATATTTTTTACAAGAATGAAGGGAACCGAGGCCGAGTCAGGACCAAAATAATAACGAATTAACATGAGACTTACAAATTGCTCTCATGTTTTCTCCCTTAAGCTTTTTTTCCACGCTATTTATTTTTAACACCATCGATCATGAATTGATTGTCTTGTCATACTAACGTATTGATATAAATATATACAAGAAATTGGTCACCTAATGTTACTTCGCCTGAGGGTTCAATTAACAGACATCAGTGAACAAACACAGATTTTGGCGGAGAATAACAATTCAATCTAACATAAAGAAAGCAAACGTATTGTTGGTGTATGTGCCATTCTTTTCGCCCGGAGAATCAACGGACTTGAATTGGTTACTTACGAGACGGAACATTATTAAAAGGCTCAGTGGAATGTTAAGCTTTGTTACCGCTTTTGATAAACAAGCACACGAGTAAATAATAAGATTCATTTCAAAGGAAAAGTGTAAACTCGACGTCCCTGCCTTGAGATTTGTCTTTAAACGAAAAAACCAATATGTTTATGACGGGATTTGTTTTGGAGTGAGCACGTGGCTCCTTCTTAAACATGGAAAGTAAAACATCAGTAAAACGGACAAAACCAAACAAGTGAGTACAAAGGACGTGTTATCTCACAAAGTCTTTGTTTTAATGGCATTATCTGAAAGCTGAGAACACTTCACTAAAGACCCAATGAACATTACAAAAGCGATTAACAACTGTTATGGTATACGATGGAGGTCTCCGCAGTGAACCCTTAAATTTTAACAGAATTAGACATTTCTCGCTCCGGGGAAAATGGAACTTGTTGTTAGTGATAACACAAGATTCTTTCCAAACATGACACGACGAAAGAAGACGTCAAAATTTATACCACCAAGGTTTTTGGTATTCTTTAGTATTCACTATTCAGTTCAATAATAATGCCACCGGTAACCAGTGCCCCATGACGGCATCCTTGACAACTTTGTTGAAAAACTAGACAGATTTACATACTAGCAACTTTCAAAGAGAATCAAACGAAGTACGTATAAGTCTCACCGATAGATACTGTCTGACTCCTCTTCCACACGTGTAACAATTACATTTCATCAATGGAAGTAAGTATGCAGACGTTTTCGTGACAATGAAAAAAAAAAAGCCTAAAAACGACTATACGTGCCGTCAACTGGTCTTTTGTCAAGACCACTTTAGCTAAAATCTTTAAGATTCGAGCCCCGCTGTGTTTGTTTAAGTGGTACACTTTAATCAAAAGCACCCTACAGAGAAATTATGCTTCGACGGATATAATTATAAGTGTCCGGAAATGCAAGAAACCGTGGCCTAAGAGTTAATTATAAACGTTATACACGTCTTAACCACTAAACAGGCCCTTGCGGCGTTAAAGAAAAAAACTATCAAAATCCTTTAGCCAAAAGATTTTGTACGTAGCGGGGCCTAGTTAGTGACTGTGGACGAAATGATGTTCATAACAGAAACTAGAGCAGTTAAAAATAAAGCCACAAAAGCTTTTTGTTTCTGTTGTATTACTTCCCAATTTCTCTAAAGATCACCTTCTCAAATTTGAGGCACGAATGCAAAAATGAACCAATTATCCAGCGGCATGCATGTGTCAAACAACTCAGCTAAACAAACTTATTGTCACACCTTTGTATTTCAAGGGTTTTTTTTTTTATCTGCAACTGAATTTAAAATAGATCACAATTATTCTAAAAAGGCTCGTACGGCTCCCGCCATGATTGAAAGAACAGTAATGGCCCGGGGCCTTATTGTCTCGGAATTATTCAGATTCAATAAAGTTGAAGACAGAGCATTAATTTTTGTCCGCCATTTTTAGTTTGCAAGTTCCCTTTTAAGACTGGAACCGAGTTTAAGATAATTGAATTCGAAAATACCCGGTATTAATCGCCTACATGAATTCGATAATTCGTGGGATTAAAAAATAATGTCGGGAGCGGTTTCAAAAAGCTACAGTTTTGTTGAGAAGATTCGCTAGATTCGTGCAGACGAAAGGCCACTTCGTGTATGTGCGGTTTACAAAATACCCGGATTCGCGTGGACGGAGCCAAGGACTTAACAGTTACCGGAAAGTTTCGCTTATAAGGAACAAGAGTATTTTCTGCTTACAAGACCTGGCCTTACACAACTTCGTACGGGGGTTTAAACAGGGCTTATAAAAAGGAGGGGGGGCGGGGGCGGGAGGAAGAGGTTGTAATCGGAATGCAAAAAGCGATTAAAAAAAAAAGCTACATAGCAGTGCTGACGAAAATAATTTAAACACTTTATAAGCTTCAAACCGTCGTCAAAAAATCTAATTCATTTCAATACAAACCATCTACCCGTTGTTTACAGGTAGATGGGCCGGGTCAATTAAGGTTTCAGGGAAACTGCCCACCTACCCCTCCCCTAAGCCATCATTTGGCCCTAAGTAAGAATTAAGTGTTAATGTTAGCTTAGGGGAGGGGTAGGTGGGCAATTTCCCAGAAACCTAAATTGATCCGATGGGCCTATAACTGGGGGGAGGAGCTTATAAGTGGGGTGGGGGAAGGCTTACAATCGGAAGTTTACGGTATTGTTTCTTGAATGCTTACAAAAACCAAGACATTTGGTAATAAAACTTTACCTTTGGTAATTAAACCGCTTTAAGATTAACATGCGCGTCGGTAAAGTTTAAGAAGTAGAGTCGATTTTGTACATATCTCGACATTACCTTTATCCTGAATTCATTGTTCCCGACGTGTAGAAGTTCCTTCGGAAATCCTTTCCTCATGGGCGTTGTTGCAGGGTTTATTTTGTTCAGATATACAAAAAATGTTTACAAAAGACAAAGTACCATCCACCCAAACTTCCAATAGGCCACTTCCCCAAACCGCTAACATCGTTTGTTTAATGCTGTGATCATCCTTGAGGTGAAGAAACGTCTCCATCTACAAAAGCATTATTCACATTATGTGAATGCCCGTGCACCTGCGTAGCAGACGCTTGCAAGAAATATGACTTCATGTGGGCTATCACTCCCAGGGCTCATTGACATGAAATACTGAGAAACTAAATTTATTTATTTTTTGCTTTAATTGTTTCTTTTAGCAGCTGTTCAAAGGAGACAACCCTCAAAAAATTGTCAAAAAATTAAACATCGTACAATTATCAATATCCTCCATTAAAGAAACTCAAGGAATACTTATATAATGGTACGTCCAATCTTCAATAGCATCGATACGCATGGCACATTTTAGTAAACACTACATGCTGAAATTTTCACTTGAGCACTTTTCCGAGCCTCGCAAGGCAGAGGAAAATGTGATCAAGCAAAAAAAAAAATCGTGTTTCCTTACAATTCATTGAATAGGACATTTACTACCCCACTTTATATTATCACTTCAAACTTAAGTTAGTCTATTCCCACTGTACCCATATGGTGCCTCCACTGTTGATTATCTTAACCACACCTACGACAAGAGAAAGTTGGGATCCACTCTGTTCGGGGATCGATATCTCTAGAGACAGCACACTACCTAAATTGGTGGGTGTGACACCCTCAAGAAGGGGATGAAAAGACGGTTTCTCATGCCATGCTGGAACCATTGCCAGGTAACCGACCATCTTGCTAACTTAATCCACACAAAGTTCATACATGTAATCAACTCTTTTAGAAATGTGGTCCACAGTAGCTTCTGTTAGAGACCCAATGGCCAAACTGGAAACTCTCACAAGGTGCCCTTACTGATATTTCTCTTCAACCACACCTTCAAAAAGGGAAAGTCGGGATCCACTCTGTCATCGATATCTCGAGATACAGCACATAACCTAAATTGGTGCATGTGAGAGCCTATGTCTTGCGATTATCAGACAAATGCGGAAAGTCAAACCGAAATAAATAGAACCACTGTGTTCCAAAGAATGACACCATGCTCTTTATGAATGCTTTAAGACCTGTTAAGCTCTGACCTTCCCTAATGAAATCACCAACTTATTTTGACTCGTTACCTCCACAAACGCCTCCCCTTAGCACAACAGCGCCGTTTATTCCTTGATCCTGCTGGCTTTCTTTGTGTCAGGGGAAGGAAAGACACTGCTTCACTGCAAGAATCCGGAAAAATTTCCCTTCCTTCCACAAGCCATACGTTCTCAAAGTTAGTCATCCGTTTTGCTTATGACAAGCATGTGCATCCCGGATTCAATGCCACAATAACTGCACTTCACCAAACCTTCTGGATTACATCTATAGGTCAGCCCCAAATTATGCTACCGTACACAAATTGAGAGTTTAAGAGAAACCCCCCCCTTACAGTAACTGGTGTAAACTTTGCTCGACCACCCTATGTACGGTCAGATAATGGTGAAACTAAAAGCTGCAATACATTTGGCTCTTTACTTGTGCAGTCAGAAGGCCATTTCATTTGGATGTTTTTCACATCTAACAGAGAGCAGTTTCCAATTAAGCCTTCCGCAGGTTCTCAAGCCGTAAGTCATTGCCAGTAGTCGTTATTTCTGACAATGCTCCACCTATTAAGTCTCAGCGGAAACCCTTTACAGCAAATTATTACAGTCTCCCTCGCTGTAAAGGAGGTCTTCGGGAGACAGGGAATCGAGTGCATGGACATTCAATCGCAAACATGCATCCTGGTATTTGGGATTTTGGGGGCGTCTAATTTGATTGACCAAGATGATCATAAAGACACTCAGAAGAGCACCTCAATTCTCAGGAGAGTGGAACTCGAACCTCGTCATCGTTGAATTAGAGGCAAGCCTAAATGACTGACCGATTGAGCGACATCAGCGATGAAGAACCCCTAACCACTTCACATCGTATCTAAGGGAGGAGAATCACTTCCCCTACCGTTTGATTACGCCATCACAAGTGAAGACCTAACAGACCCTGGCCATAGTGATGGTTTTAACATGAGACAACGAGTAGAATGCAAGCACTCATCCTTCAGGGCTTTTCATCGCATAAAATAAACTAATCAGCAGTCTATCAAGAATGGCAGCGCTTTATGACTATCATCGCCGATCAATTTGAAAATAAGCTGTAATCGATCGAGATTCTTATAAAAGAGGAGGGGATGGTCCAGTTCGAAAAGAAATATCCGTATTAATACTGGATACAAAAATACAAAAAAAAAACAACTTCAAAACTTTACTCGCTAGAGCTGTCAGCAAATGTCTTAACCCAGGGAGAGCCGTCAAGCGGAAACAGCACCAATGGATAATAAGCAGTTAACGGGTCAAACATAAGTCTCAAAACCTCGAAGCTCGAAGAACCACAACTTCTGAAGCTTTGAGAAGAATTTTCGAGTGGGCTAGAAGTACTTCGTCCCCCCGCCCCCCACGAGGCTGTAGAGGAAACTTTGACTAACTTTAACTAAACGTTTTGTTTTTTGTTTATAGTTAACTTGTAGTCGTTGCGAAAGCTGTCCGCGGTCCTTGTAAATTCTTCCACTGAAATTTTCTCTCACTTTGAATCGGTCATCGGCAAATTTGAGGCTGAATATGCCGAATTTTCTCTAATTTCTATTTCGAAATCTATACTTGGCAAACGTTGCCCATCGCGCCAAGGTAAATAAAAAAATAAATAATGAAATAAAAAAAATCATGTACTTAAATAAATAAAATCTGTCCCAGAGCAGAGCGTTAAAAAATGTCCAAAGTCTCTATCTTCCTAGTATCTAACGGTAGAGCGTTCCAATCTTTGATTGATCACGGGAAGAAATTGTTCACATAGATGTTGCCCTTGGAACTTGGATTTACAAAAGATGCTTGAGATCTATTGTTGTAAGTATGGGTTGCTGCATTCAAGTGTGATGGGATAGGTAACACAGCACTTCCATGCAGAGACTCATAAAAGAGCTCCAGACGCCGTTATTTACGTCTTGCCTGTAATGAAGGCCAGTTTAAGGAATCCAGTAACCGAGTTACAGTCCCGTTCTCTCTTGTGTAATCGCTTTTAACAAAGCGAGCCGCCTGTCTTTGAATGTTTTCTACGGACAAGTATTTCAAATGAGGACGAACCAGAGCCTGGTATGCTCTCTCTTTAACTGCCTCTGGGCAATTAGAGATGTTTCTTCGCAAAAAGCCCAAAGAGCGGTTTGCCTAACTGATAATTTTAGCTATGTGATAGTTCAACTTCAAATGAGATTGTAATTCGACACTCAAGTAGGAGTGATGGTCCACTGACTCAAGTCCTATCTCCTTTAGGATATATTTGCCGATTACATCATTAGTGCGTTTACGGACTTAATATTAAAAGCCACCCGCCACTTGTCAGCCCAGAGGTCCAGGAATATCACTTTCAAGCTCGCGTGCATTATCTGTACAATCAACAATTCTGTATAACAAACAATCATTAGCGAATTAACAGATCTTTGAGAAAATGATGTTGTTAGCAATGTCGTTAATGTACAACAAAAACATGAGAGGGGCCAGGACTGTACCCTGGGGAACCCCAGATTTAACTTTCACAGGAGCTGAGGCCACGCCTTCTTGTAAGACAAATCGGGTACGTTTAGTAAGCCACCCTCTTATCCATCGACCCAACGTTCCCCCTATACCATACTGCTCGAGCTTTACTAAAAGACGCCGGAGAGGCACAGTGTCAAAAGCTTTACTAAAGTCAATAATCAGCACATCAACATTGTGACCATCACCTCTTTACTTAAAATTTGCCAAGAACAGTAATTAGCTGTGTCTCACATGATCGACCTTTTCTGAAACCATGTTGGCAGTTGACCAAGATGTTATGGGTCTCACAGTGCTGCATAATATGCCTGAAGATGATATGTTCAAATACTTTACAACAAACAGAAGTAAGTGATACAGGTCGATAATTTGCAGGATTGAGTCGATCACCTTTCTTCTGAACTGGTACTATATTTGCTGAACACCAGTCCTTAGGGACAGAACCAAGATTTAAGGATGTTGTGTAAATAACTTGCAATGAATATGGGTGGTATTTCGGCCATGGCTAATGGGCGATATGAATTGTAACTTAGATACGTCTCAGCTTAATCAAAATGCTAACTTGTTCTGTAAAATTTCTGATGTTTATGGCCTGCAACAGCTCATTAATGATCGCATTCGTTGTACTGTGTTAATTACTTTAATTGATCTGATTTTCACTAATTGTCCTGAGAGGGTTGTTTGCTCTGATTTCTCATTCTGGGATAAGCGGTCACAGTCTTGTTAAAATTTTTCGCAAAAGTTTTGTCGATTCATCTTCAAGGGGCCGCAAAACAATTACCTATAGAAAATTAAAAAAATTCAGCCCTCCTAGATTTTGGCGTGACATTTCACACTAAAGCTGGCAACATTTACATGCTTATAATCGATAGATCACCTGTTAGCCACACCACGTTTACTAAGTCGCTTGTTGTTTACATCGATCACAATCTATGTTGGAATGTTCATGTGGACAACTTATCTAAAAAGATTGCTTCTGGCATTGGTATGCTGACGCTTTCTAGAGCTTTTGTTCCATCTGATACTCTCCAAAATATGTTCAGCCACACTTCGATTACCGTAACAAGATTTGTGGTTGCTGTAACAAAACACTTTCTATTAAACTTCAGAAACTCCGAAATCGAGCGGCATGGATTAAGGGCAAGCTATGACATCAATTCCGTCTCTCTTATCGATAAACTTGGCTGGAGAAAACTTGACACACAAAGAAAAATCAACAAAAGGCTACAATGGTATATCAATCGATCAATGGGTTAGCTTCTAATTATCTTCGCTCTTAAGTAACCTATCGTACCAGTGTCACCAATTACTCTTTGGGAGACACCAACGGCAAACTCACTATACCCCTTCCCCATACAAACTAGATGAAAAATAGTTTCAGTTATTCTGGAGCAATTTTTTGGAATAGCCTTCCTATTGAGTTGCGGAAGGAAACCTTTCTTGGGATCTTCAGGGCTGGCTGCAAACAGTTCTTCTAAAAGTCTATCTACACGGCACTTCTGTAAAGCAGGCTCTAATCTGAGTAGCTTTTCTAAAAATATTGTTAATGTATTATTATATAATGGTAGTTTTAGATTTATATAAGAAATAGTGTTTTTAAGCCCTGATGAGTTGACCGTGTTTAAATAAATTTACTCATCCATTCACCAACAGTTTTTGCACCTATCATCAATTCCTCTAAATTATCCTCAAGGTAGCTCCCTAAATTTTTTAAGTCTGCAACTTAACAGCCCAAGTCCACGTTCGTTCTCGGAACATATAAGTATCACATATCTTCGGGCGTAGTGCACCAATCATTGTTTTCATCTTTCTCGTGGCCCTGTGCAGTTACATTACCTCTTCGCTTGACCACCCTATGATGCCTACTTCTCACCTGAGAATTGCCACTGCTCAGGTATTAATCGCTGATACTTTATCATCAACATTCAAATTTAAAGTAAATACGAATTTCAATCTACTGATGCACTCTCTGATTAACGGTTCACCCCTTCATTGTCTTATCCATCTTCAATACGCCCGACTATTTATATCCTTCATTCTTTAGCCATCCAGTAAAACAACTCTACCTACTTTAACAACTTTCCCAAGTCTCAGTATTTCATTCCAATATCTGAGCCGACAAAATGAACAGCCTGATCAGCGAG